ACCTTATTTATTATTTTTACGCACAGTCGGACTCACCCTTAACCCACTACTTTATATTACTAATACGTACATTTTTCATTCTGACCAAAAAATTAATACATACATATATACAAATTCACTTTGATCAAGAATAGATCAACATATTCAAACCTATTATGATTTTAATTATACTAAAAATACTCAGCATTGTTTCCTTTGTACTATTTAAACTTGTGTTAATTTAATTCGGCTGTTTATGTACTCTGAAGAAGTGGCTTCATTAAGTCATGAAACATGAAAAATACGATATATCTGCCCATTAAGGTATAACAAATATATATTCCGATAATGATATTAGAAGATAAAGATTATCATTATCGAAATTTATCAAAGGGACTAATTGTTTTAAAAATATATTCATTACAATCTTTTTTATTTAAAATGATATATTATTCTCTTTTTTTTATTTTTGCTTTGTAGATGGTTTTGAGCGTGTATTACCACTTCATTGGTTAGCGTTATTTACTGGCACAGAATTAGGTGAATTAATTGCTGGAGATTCAGTAGTTCATTGGACACGTGAAGATCTACTTGCGTATACAGTACCAAGTTTAGGTTTTACTAAACAATCACCAACATATCAAATGTTAATTAATGTATTATGTAATTTTAATTCATCTGAACGTCGTGCTTTCTTACAATTTACTACTGGTTGTTCTAGTCTACCACCAGGTGGTTTAAAAAATTTACATCCACGTTTAAGAATTGTACGCAAAGAAATAATAAATAGTGGACCATATCCTAGTGTGAATACATGTGTACATTATTTAAAATTACCAGAATATCAATCAGAGAAAGAATTACGTACACGTTTATTACAAGCAACAAAAGAAATTGGTTTTTATTTAAATTAATTATCTTTATTCATTCTTTTTAAGTTTTTTCTTTGTGATGAAAACTAATAAACCAACAAATATTTAATTATTCTACATTGTCTCGTTGTCATTTTTATATTCTACTCGTTTATTTTTACATCAACGTAAAAAAAAAATTACGAATAGTGGACAGTTAATAATAATGATGACGGCGACAATAACTAATATAGTTTCTCTTTAATAATTTTTTTCTTTCACAAGATTACAAGTGATAAAATAGATTCTTATCAGATCCAAGTGTTCCATCATATTTCAATATGTTCTAATGATGGTAATCTATCAGTCAGTAAGCGATGTTGGATCATTGCCTGTTTAAGTGGATAGAACTGAATTATGACCTGAGAGTATATATTTATATATAACCAAAGAAATTGATTTTTGAAAGCAGTGTATCACACTACAGTCATTCTAATAATAATGGCATGAATAAATAGAATAGTTTGACAAGGAAGAAAATTTATAATCTATTGTTTTTATAATGCCGACAAAACGAAATGAATAATTATGATGCATGATTTCGGTTTCCTTTCACGGTACTATTTCACTTCCCATTTACTGACTCTAACCTTATTCATTTATCATCCGTATCACCAAAAAAAGGACTTTGATTTTGTTTATTTTGTTAGTATGTTTTTATTTATGTTTATGCAGTGGTTATTTATTTATTAATTTGTTTACTGGTAATACTTTATTTTGTAATGTAGACACTCCTTGAAGAATTGTGTATTATTTGAGACATTCACGTATATTACTGTTATAAAATAAATGTGTTTATTTAATAAACAGTATAAAAACAGTCACTAGATGATAGTATTTTCACATTTTTACTCTGGGGGGGGCTATCCGTTAGTAAGAAATAATTTTTTAAAGATCATTTAACTTTATGTAGTTAGTGATAAGTCTTGAAAGTTGAACGCTATATTCGTTTCCTAAGCTATTCTGTAACCCCCAAGCTAGAACTATACAGTGACCTGAACAACGAGATAGAAGACGCAAAGTATGCGAGAAGTAGTTTACTCCAAGGTTCATTTTAACACAGAAAATATAGAGTTTTTATAATTGTTTTAAATGTCCTTGGGCTGCTCGAAGATTCTGGAATGCTACTTAACATAGTAGCAGTATAGCAATCAGCCAATCAGAACCTCTACATGGGACGTTACACTTGATATTTTTGGCTAAAACTTCAAGTGAATGCTGATTGGATGGAACGCTTATTTATTTATTTGAACACATAAATATTGGTGCAAGAGGGCACCAAATATATATGCGCCACACAAAACAATGAGAATTCGAAGAGAAAGAAGAAAAAAAAGATAAGGAGCGCGAAAAAAAAGCAACAATAACGAAGAGGTTGGTGTAAGGTAGTGTAGTAATAATCATAGTAATAATGAGGGAACGGAAAGGTACAATCAGAAGAAATCTTTCAGTTCAGGGAGACACAACCACGTTTTATGAAGAAAGTAAAAGAAGGTTACAGCAGGATCGCCACTGGCTTCTATTCTGAGCCATATCTGATAACGTCTCTAACCACTGTGTAGCACCATCTCTCGGACCCCAACCAGGGAGTCGTGAAGGACCAACAGAAGCCAGTCCTTTGCAGCTTTCTTTCATACCACGACACCATGTCATACACTGACCACCTCTCCGCTTCTTCCAACCAGTCCCAGTGTCGGCAAATAATGCACGACGTGGAATTCTCTGGGATGACATTCGTAGAACATGTCCAGGCCACCGAAGTCGGTGTTTCAAGATGGTGACACCAATTGCATTATCGTCTCTGTGCCCGAACACACGATGCCGAACCTCTGCATTACTAACATGGTGTTGCCACCGGATGTCAGCAATCCTTCGGAGACAACGATGATCGAACACAGAGAGTAGTCTAACGTCCTCAACTCGGAGAGGCCAGGTTTCACAAGCATAGAGCAAAACTGCTCTCACCGACGCGTTGTAGATCCGGCCTTTTACAGCCAGACTAACATCACGAAGACGCGAAAGGTGGCCTAGGTTGGCATAAGCCGCTCTGGCTTTCACTATACGTGCATTGATCTCATCACTCATATCACCACCAGCACTTATGCAGCTACCCAGATACACGAACTTGTCAAGTACTTCTATCTGCTCACCATCCAGGTTGAGTACAGGATTAGAATCTTGCCAGTCTTGTAGAAGTACTTTGCACTTCGAAGGTGCAAAGCACATACCGTACCTACGAACACTGATTGTCAACTGATTAAGTGCGGATTGCATGGCTTGGGCATTATCGCACAGTGAGACAATATCGTGCGCATACTCAAGGTCGAGTAGTCTTTCTCCAGGCAACAGATCCACACCGCCATTACTTACATCCATCAGAGCTGTTTCTAGAATGTCATCGATGGCAAAGTTTCCTGATCCTTGCTCGTCTTTTGCAAGAAATTTTCTGGATCACTCCAACAGTTAGTTGATTTTTTGGTAATTGGTGGTAGGAATTGTACGGACATATCAATACACTTGTTATCATAAATCCTGTGTATCGTACGGTTTGACACAAAGAAATACCGCATACAAATTCGATTAATTTTCGCATAGCTCATTATTATTGTTTGAAAGTTTATTTAGGTAAGAAAACATAAATTCTTATCTCAGGCTTCGTATTTCTTGATGCAATTGAAAATACTCAATTAATTAGACCCTTATAGGTCCTGGGTTCGAATGTCGCGAGGCGGGATCGTGGATGGGTATTGCCGAGGAATCCCACAATAGGACAAAACGGCCGTCTAGTGCTTCCAGGTTTTCCATAGTGGTCTAGCTTTAACTGACTCATGATCTCAACTATTAAAAATTACTATAATATCCAAGGAAAACTCTTCTGATATTAATTAGGCAATCCTATGGAAAATAGAATGTTCATGATACACTTTATTAATTATTGATTCCGTTATAAATGTAACTAACTGATAAATATGTCTATTAAATGTATATGAACAAAATAATTCATTGGGAATAATGATGTTTTTACATTATATCGTACAATAATTCTGCTTGTTAATTATGTTTTTACTAGTATAGATGGTTTACAGAGATTTTCAAAAGGTACTAAAATCGCTCACCAAGATCATCACCAACCTGATCTATACAGCTATTCATTGTCCAACAATGACTGTTATTATTATTATTCTCTATCTTATGACTTGGATAATTTAGGTCAAATCTGTTATTCAATTATTGTTGAGTAATATATAAGAATTTTAAACTTTAATGAAATAATACTTCACTTATCTCTGGCTTTTAATTGATCCTTCAGCTAGATATCAGTTCATGATAAGAACTATTTTCATTCAAATATTAATGAATTATTGTGTTTTATTTTTCCTTTCGAAATTTATAGATCATTTATACTACTCTAATATTTATCTACAATTCTACAATATTCATGAACTTATGTTTAGAATATAAATGAAATAGTATATTATCTTAAATTGTTTAAACACACTAATAATATTTTTTTTTAAAATGAATAACTGGCGCTAATTCTTAAACTTATACTGCAATTACCCATAGAAAGAGAATAATAATAATAATAATAATAATAGTGAATTATGAATAAATATTGAGACCATATATTCTGTGTATTTTATTATTACTATATACTTTATAAGAAAGTATTCTCTTTTAATATTTCATATATGATAATGTTTAATACAATGATATTACTTACATGTATTTTCTAATATTCTATTCTACTTATTTCGAAAATGACCATTGAAACAGAGAGAGAGAGAGAGAGACTATGATAAATGATAATTAACTTGATCCAATGACAGTGAATCAATCATTTTTCATTTATTACATTCCATATGAATTGTAACTATAAGAAAGTAATTGTTTATAGGTTTATTCAACTTTGAGTAATATGTGTGCCAAATAATTGTGAATTTTTTTAAAAAGAAGAAAAATTGTTACTTAATCATAGAAATGATTATTCACTTCAAAGAGAAAATTTTCTATAAAATCTTATTATAGCAATGAAAATTAATAATGATTCGAAATGAAGCATATGATTATGATCTATTAAATTAATTATGTCTTTTGTATTCTTATTAAATGAAAATGGTATGTAAAGTATTTTTCATAATAATTAAAAATGAAAAAGTAAATGAATCGATGCGATGTATAAATGATTCATTTGTAGATTTTATAACATTAACACTGGAACAGATGGAAAACTTAACATACTTGATGAATACCATTGATGAAATACGAGGATCTGATGCACATGTGTAGGTAAGCATTGATAAAGTTAATACAGCATTCCTACAATTGAAGAACATATGGAATACAAAACAACTGTCTGTCAACCAACATTACAGTCAGAATCTTCAATACGAACATCAAGACAGTTCTACTGTACGCAGCTGAAACGTGAATAACTACTACAAACATCATCAAAAATTTACAAGTATTTAACAACAATTTGTTAGGATATTCCGGAAAATATCCCAAAAATTATTCTGTTAAGTCTAACACTATCATTGGACTTGATATGGTATCATTTTTCCTATTTCTCAATACTTATTTCACGTGTCATTTTCCTGTTGGCCAAATATTGTACAGATGTTATTTTCTATTTTATGGTACGATGTGGTCTGCTTGACTGGTATATAAACAGAGTATACTTGAAATATAACGATTCATATCTCAGAGGCTGGGACTTGCGTTCTGGACTAAACTGGCTGAGCTAGGAAGCACGGCTAATCAGACTCTAGGTCGCTCGCACGTGTTTACGCGTCTTTGGTCCGATCGATAATTCGTTGCCGTCTAATCTTCAGTCGCAAGTTATAACACAATTGTCTACGCAAGATACTATACGTTAGTTCACCAGATACCATTAGTAACAGCCTACTGTTAGGGAGAACAAACCAAATTCCAACAGAAGAGGGAATTAGGAAAATACGTTGTTAGTGCATAGGATATACATTGTTGAAATCACCAATCGGCATCACGAGGCAAGCTCTAGCTTGGAATCCTGAAGGGGAACGGAAAAGAGGAAGATCAAGAAAGACATTGCATCAGGAATTAGAAGGAAACATGAAAATAATAAACAGCAACTGGGAAGGATTGCCCAGGAGAGAATTCGTCGGAGAATCGTGGTTGGTGGTCTATAGTCCTTCACGAAGGATAACAGGCGTAAGTTAAGTGTATAAGACGAAAATTGTTCAACTAAATAGGTAGGGACCTAAAAACACTAGATTGCTCAATCGTTTACGTTGAAATTAAGTATAGTTCGCTAGGTAAGTGTGTTAAGTCGGTTGATAAGTATATCAATCTTCGTCGGTAATTGAAGTTCCTGGTGGACCTCCATCCCACTAGATAGTTCAGTCGTCATAGGCCACGGAGAGTAGGACAGTGTGATCGATGTCGTAGGGGCAGTGGACCAGTTAAACTGTAAGAATAACTCACGCGAAACAGGCTTTTAAAAGCAACTGATGAAGAGTGATTTTCTGGTACATCACCAGAGTCCTTAGTATGGATATAAAAAAATAAAAACGTGATTGTAAATGCGGTTCATTTGAATGCGAAAATAATTTCTGCCAGTTGTAATCATCATTCGTTTTGTGTGTGATCTAGGATACTACCTGGGTGCTGAAACGTAAGCGGGTAGTTTTCTTAGGTTGCCACCCCTCGAGGCTTTGACCTAGAGGTCTAATCCGCAAAGTATTGTAGCAACGTTAGAAGATGCAGTTCAGTGGTTGCCAGTGACCAACAGTAGGTTCATACGCTTTTTGTTTCCTCAGGATCCTAAAGTCTTTGTACACCAGGGTTTTCTGAATCTCCTAAGTGAATCCTTCGTACCGATTAACCCGGTTTAAGCCCTGAATATTCGGTTTTGGTCTTCTTAATTTCATGAACAATAATCTAGCCGCGAGAAAGTAGTGAGCAGGACTTCCCTGACAGTGGCTGTATACGCATGTCCATGTGAGAACATTTTGAGAGGGAGAGTGGACTCTCTCGACCGTGCCGGAGCATTTGGGGGCGATGTTTCATAGACCTATCAAGTATCGAACACATTCAGAGATTTCAGCAACTACCTAAACTTTAGATCACTAGGTTTGATTACAATGATTAATTTTTTTAACTTTGATTAGATGTTGACACTGTTGACCGCCATTTATCGCCACTAGTGGTACCTATCTTTCACCTATATAAGGTCAAAACAGTTGTCCAGTACAGTGAGGTTTTCAGGTGTTATCGGGCTAGATTTAGTCTATAAGGTAATTTACGTATTAAACAATCTCTAAATAAATCGTTTGCTAATAACCGTGTGCTTATAGTGAATAAATTCAAGAGGAAACTCTCAATTTTTGTGAAAAGCAGTGACCAGTGAATATAAACAATGTCTGTCTTAAAAAATAACAGAAATTCCAATGGATTATGGTAGAGAAATCTCGATTTTTTAGCTGAATTCTTAGCAAAATGTCATACGAAGTATATTAAGTCAAATCCAAGTTTGGCTTAGCTATATCATTCACGTGGAATAATAATCTAACCAAGGTAAGTGTTCACCAATCCCTAACAAGAAACTTATCATTCAGCCTTCGATAGTAAAACCTTCTTCATAGTCTAGTCTTATGATTTTCGCTATTCAGGTTGATCGAACATTAGTATGACGAGTAATTGCTGGGCCCGAATTCAGGCAGTATTGCATACTGTCGCACCCTGTAACGCCAGTTTATGTTTTGTTTGGATGTAAGGCTGTTTTTCGATAAAACAAAACCAAAATCTGTAATACTTTGTGTTGTTTAAATCCAATATTATCATTGTCAATCCCTTAAGAATAGATTTATACGCTTTTTGTTTCCACAGGATCCTGATGCCTTTGTACATCACCTATATTCTAGCCTGCGCCTTCAAAGATACGGTGCAATTGTTTTTATGTCGCGATTGAATAAAGCAATTTAGTGAAGTGAATTTTGTTTTCACTTCTTGGAATTTCTGTATAAAGGACGATGGTATGAAAGTCCTAAAACTGAACTGATTGAAGGTTGAAGTAACCATTTCATGAGCAAATTATCAATTCAATTACTCATTCCAATAATTTTCTCAAACAGTCAGGGTTAATCATTTCACAGATGGGGGGGGGAATTTGATGTAATTAAATAGTACCCATTTCTCAAGATAAACGATAAACATTTTGAGACTATAATATCTGGATATCACAAAGTATTAGCTGTTATTTACTAACTTGAAATCCAAGTTAATTTATTTTTTAGAAAATGTAAAATGTTACTCTTTAATGATGTTCTTAATCTAGTACTATTAATGAAACAAATTATTGAATCATTCTATCCTTTTTCAGTTGAAACATTGATCACCATATAGAGATGACGATGATACTTCAAAAGAATTATATAACAATTATTTTACATTTTTACAACAAGATGACATCTTCATTAGTATAAGAATTGTTATTATTCTTACTCATAATAATGATTACATTTATTATAATTTTGATTAAGTTTGAAAATATCATAATTGAGGTAACTAAGATTGTAATCTTTTTTCTAGATCACTTACTTAGTTGATAAGTGATGTGCTGTGTATAGAAGAACAGGTATATTTGTGTATTTTTATGGTGAATGTATATGTGTGTAGTTATTATACACAAAAAAATAAAGAAAATTATAGTATAGTGAAATCATGATAAATTAATTTGATTGGTTGATTAGTCTCTATGGCCTCTTCTCAATAAATTCTTCGATTTTCATTTTCTTATCATTATTAATTTATTATTTTCCAGTAAATAGATATGCTATTATAGTTGGGATCCCTGTAACTAACTGTACTAATATACATGATATATGCATACCATCCATATAATTATAGAAATTTAGATACGTATGTTTGTGTGCGTGTGTGCGCGTATTGCTTGTTGATTGGTTTTATAAAATGTATTTCATTTATTCCTATAGTACACTTTCATTTACATTTTACTATTAAAAGCATTGAAATTCATGTCAATATAAGACATTAAATTATCAGTGTACTCATCATTATTATTCATCAAAGGTAATACTTAACACTTTCGTAACAAACTTGATTTTCTCATTGTTTTTGAGATGGTCGAAGAGATTTGTAGCTCAGGTGGATGAATTTGATGCAGTTTTGTTCTCTGAGCTGAATGGTTTAGTCGTGAACCTTTCGTCGTTCTTCTGAACGACATCATCAGCGCAAACTTCAGGCAGATGTGACGTGTTAGGATTTCTCCACATATGGTTCACAGCTTGTCGTGTACACATCGATGTTGATTAGTTCTTGTTGATATCGAGGTGTACATTACAAGCTGTGAACCACATATGGATAAATTCGAAAACTTCACTTCTACCTGAAGTTTGTGCTGATGATATCGTTCAGAAGAACGATGAAACCTCCACAACTAAACTATCCAGCTCAGAGAACAAAACTCCATGAAAATCTCATTTTTCATTAACATATATATAAATATTAAATGTCTTATATTTAAATTATTGTTTTATTTTTAACTGTTTAGTTAATAAAGATAAAAATATTTCGTTCTTTGCTCAATTTTTGCTTTCAAAGAGTTTAAATAAGCATAAAATGGAACCATTTGTACAAGTATTCTTTGCTATTGACAAAGATGGAACTGAAACTATCACAATAGATGAATTGAAAAAGTATGTTGCTGATAATAATCTTGATGAAATGATGGTTACAGTAAGTTTATCAATAATTTATTACATATTTATGCAAAAGTTTTTGAAACACTATAAAAGTTTTCTATTATTCAATTATTGTTTAAGGCTAAAAGGAAAGAAAAGAAAAATAAAACCTCTATGGATACTGAACATTCTGGGATACTTGCTAAATTCATTCTATTTAGTAACAAACAAAAGAGAAATAATTTATTATAGATTGATTTAATTTAATATAAGGAAGTATTGAAATTGTATATTAAGTTCCTATTAAGAAAAATACGTGTTCATTTCAATTTAGATTATATAAAAGAAATATTAGTAGAACTTTGGACATTATGTCAACTCTCAAGTTATAATTCGACTAAATTTTGTTAGATCTTATAGGTACATAGACTTATATGACATATTCTATTGTCTTATATATATAATCTTTATAGTCTTATTCACAATAAAAGTAGGTTTTCATCCATCATTTGTCAAAACCATGTGATCAGTATTGAGAGTACGTTTTTTGTTTATATTAGTTTTTCATTATATGAATGATTGATAGATTGACAACGTCTATTTATGTATTTTAACAATACAACAATTTTCATCTTTATATGATAAAAAACACTAGGATTTAGAATAATTACAGATATATATGTATATGCCACACATATTATGGATAGTAAACATTATTCGAAATTAGATTCACTTGGTATTGTTTACTTAAATCTCCCCATTGATATTTAAGACTTCAATTGATCAGTCTGTTATTAGCATATGTGCATACTGTGAGTAATGACTCAATATTGCCTTAATTCACAAGCATTATAAGGAAAGATAGATAGTAGCTAGCAGTGGAATCCAGGATGCATGTTTCATCCTATTTGAGACTCGTCATTTCGATGTACCTGCATCCCAGAGTTGATGTTCACTCTGAGACTCTAATCAGTACTGTTCGCTTCAAATGCCATCGAGTTGTCCACTTAGCTATTGAGTCCTGATAACCACTTGCTTATGACATTGATTATCGATCCATTAATGAAACTCGATTTCATTTGAACCATTCTCTTATGAAATTAAGCTATATATGTAATATGTTTTTATTCAACTCTGAAACGAAATGACCTCGTTAATCATTCGAATAATTAAGTCTATAAAACATAACAATAAATATTAACGGTGGAACTGTTTACAAACTAGATGTAAATGTAATTAATACTACAGTTTCTTCAGGATACAATTATGGTATGAAATTTATTTTCAGTAGAAACATAGTGATTCATATTTTTCATATCAGAATTATTTCAGCATGTTTGGCCAATATTTCAATATTTACTACAGTAATAATTACAATGTCATAGAAAGTTACTATTTACATTACTTAATAGCTTAGCAACAACAAGGTTATGTTTTCTGGTTCTAATCGGTAACCATTATGCAGTCCTGCAAATTGTTAGTCTTAAAATGATCAAGTCACTAATAATATTACTCCATGTGATACTGTATGACAGGGTTTCAGTAATGTAATGCATATCACATTGTTAAATATTACAAATATACATTAATGACGATTTTTAACTGGATTAAAATGTATGTCACGATTTTTATCCCGATCACTTGCAACTCCGTTACTGAACTTTATTATAGTTTCTAGTGCGTTGTTGAATTACTCTTCAAAAAGTTACAAAAATGTATTTAATACAATTGAGTATTTTATACATACTTTATGTATTAATACGTATTTTATTGAACAATCATTCTTTCTTATATGAGACTTTTAATAAGAATTGTGAATTGCTATTCTAATCATGATTAACTAATCCATTTGCATTCTCTTTAGTCTTTTTCTATTAAAACTGAAAGTAACAATATATAAAACGTAGATAGAAAAAGATAATTTATTCCAACTCTTAGTATTATTTACATTTTTTTCGGGGGGGGGGGCGAGCGGTAGAGTAGGGTTAAGGTTGGATTCATACTTATTTACTTTTTAGTTTGTGCTTGTCATATGTATAATTATGACATTGAAAATTCAACTCAACTCTTAATATTTGTTTTTCTAGATAAAAGATGTTTCTAATACAGTATGTTGGTAAATGTTTTTATCAAAAATGAAGTCGTTGATTTTATTTAGATAAAATAGATGTCAGATCGAAAGAAAGGGCAAAACAAATGTTTCGTGTTAAGTAATTATTTGCTATATGAATACCATTGTGATGTTTTCAAGACTAGTTAAAATCATATAGTTTTTATTATATTGTATATATATATATATATGTTTGGACCTTGGTATACAGATATGATCAGTTTGCTATAAAGTGTAGGTAACACTCAATAAGGTTTGGGTATATTATTTGAAAAAAATGTAATCTATTAGTTACTGTAAGTGTTTATTGGTCACAGAGTAAAAGATTCAAGTGAAATGCGTGTGATATAATACGTTCGTAATACAAACCGTAGTCATAAATTTTGTGAGAAAATAATTATCATTAATCACTATTACCATACACTAAGAATATGTCATAACTAGGAAATGATTAACACTTTTTAACTAAAGATGATTATTTCATTTATCACAGTATAAAACGGTTGAATTAGTGGATCTACTTTAATTCAGTTGATGACATACTGTGATCTTCATTTAATTTCGTCATTAGCATAATTATCACACAACGAATTTGATGGGTACCATCATTTTGTACTTTTGGATTAGGACGCAACTACTGATGTAGTACTTGGTACTTCTGTTTTAATAAATCTTCAATTAAAATCAGGTTACAAAAGAAATTATTTTCAAATTGTACTAAAAGACTTGATGAAGTCAGTTTGATAAAATAGAAGATTAACTCCTATTCAAAAATTTAATGATATAATAAACATTCATTGTGTTTGGTTGATAATTTGTATATGTATATTATAATGTATTAGTTAATTGTTTTCATTTATAGCAAAATGTTTCTCAGGTCTAAACTCAAATATTTTTCAAATGTATTTCATGTTACCTTTATATTCGATGATTTACTATCTTTTAGAAATGGAAATCATTATTTGATGCCAAAAATACTGGAAAGATAACGTTTAGTACTTTTTGTGAAGTATTGGGTTTAAGTCCTGCACAAGCGTAAGTTATATAATTAATCCGTAGAGGCAATCAATTTATTTTTCTTGTTTAGTACTCATTAACGGTAAAACTCAATACTAATTGTTTTAGATGTTTTGAATTTTTTTTTAATATTTTCCATCATTAACAGGATGTATCTTCAATCTTTTAGGAGCTCACAGTACGGGTAATAAATACATTTATTGATCAATGACTAGGAACTAAATTCATGTCTAAATTGCAATGTGGTTGAGTATCATCAAGATTGTGTGAAAATATTTGAAATAAAAAACTTCGTATGTGCGAAGTTGAGCCATGTAAATTAATAAGATTATCACAACTCGATTGATAGAATTCCAGATGTATTGAGAATTAGACGAGTACAACATTAATGATTGAGTAATAGTAAATCAGCGTGTAATCCTTGATTACGTTTATCTGGGTTTTTGAAATAGGTTCATTTAAAACAATGCTTATAATCTAAATACACATGATTACTAGGAGAGAAATAAGATATTATAAATTAAATAAGTAAAATCAACAATTAAAGTTGTCAATATTCGGACGCTAACCATATAAATCTAAATAGTATGTTAACATAATAATTCTTCGATATGTAAAGTACTGTCCTCTATTCTGTATACCAAAATAATAATCTAGTGAATTGTGATATAATGTAGACTAATCTTTCGAGCTATTGAGGATCGTTTGACTTTTTTCAATTGTAGACATGTTGTACTACAGCAAATGCTTAATATCTGATGACCACTTATTTCGATATTTTCTCATAATAAGGTAGGTAAGCCAAATTTACGTAAATCACTATAGAAATTTGGGCTAAATTGAAAACATTTATTATGACATAAAACAAAAATATATTAGTTAAACGATAAGAATTCTTTTTGGCAAATTCATTCTGAATTTTGTACATTTCATAATGCATTCTGATACCATAACGACAATCCATATCTTTTCTTTTATTACCTATAATTTACTGAAAATAATAACCAAAGAGCTAAAAATGTTATTCCTATTTTTTTTAGAAAAATTTGAAAGTGTTGTTATTAAGACATTTGAATGTTATAAAATCTAACTAAAATTTATTACTACTTCTCACTAGAACTTCAGGATATACCCCGTGAAGCCAGTCACTAGTGAGCATATGTTGATTAATATCAGATGGGTTCGATTATCGCAGGGGGCGAGGTCGTGGATGCGCACTGCTGAAAAGTCCCACAATAGGACGAAACGGCCGTCCAGTGTTTCCAGGTTTTCTACGGTGATCTAGTTTCAACTGACTCGTGATCTTAATCATTGAAATTACTATAATATCCACAAAACCCATCTGATATTAAAATTTATTAATTATAAGGATAGGTTGCGTAACATGATAAGATAAAATATTGTAATTGAAATTAAATCCCAGGATAGAGTGAGTTGAAGAATGCTGGTCGATGGCCTATGCTCGATTAGGGGTAACGGGTGTAAGTAAGTAATCGAAGTTAAATGTAATCAGTAGTTTCATTGATTACAACGTCAGACTTGAAATAGTTTCTCTTTTAAATGGTATCAATTCTTAAGACGTAAAGTTACATTTAAATAATATGTATGTGGTTACGTGACATTATAGTTTTAAAAAGTAGTCAGATAATAACGATTTATCAAGCATACACATTAAGTGCTTTAATAAGTGAGAACTGTTAAAATAATTTTAAATCAGATGTAAAAATTAACGATTTAAGAATCGATGATGTTAATGTTCAACTATTTTCTTTCTTATTGAATATAATGACTAGAAACCTAGTTGTTCCTCGTCTACAATCTTGGAAATGTGTTCGGTCATGAGTTTATGGAATATAAACAGTCATAGACTAATGTATAAACAATTCATTTTTGCACTGCCAACATTGAATAGGGAATTCAATATTCAACGACGATGTCACCCAACCAATATGATAGGAATCAACTGTGTATATTTTAACATCAGTTCAGTTTATGATATCTCATTATTCTTATTATCAATTGCCATCCATGTACTATCAAATTAGTAAACCTAGGTTTAAGCTAATCTCAGTTTAAAAAACATATTTTTTCGAAGTCATCTCGTGACATCATGTTTTTACAAATGATAAATCTTGTATTGTTCTCTTTCTCTTCTTTTCGGTCTACAGAGTAGCCATGAAAACACAACATCAACAATCAGCTTCTGCGAAACTTCATCCAGATGTTGTTGTAATCTATGAACAGCTTCCATTGGATAAACAAATTGCTATCAGTAATAAAGCAATTGAAATCTTAACATCTCCAAAGAAATTAGATGAGAAAGATCAAGCTGTTCAATTGAAACAATGGTTAGATAACACTTACGGTAAAGCATGGCATGTTGTCATAGTTAAAGGATCATTTTGGAGTAGTTATTCACATAGTGCTAATAAGTGTTTTATATTTCGTGTACGTGATGTATCTTATCTTATATGGAGAACACCAGATGAAGAAATAACCAGTACATAGTCAAATAACTAGATAACTTGAAGAAAAACAAATAATTTAAACTGATAGATAACAGATGTTTTTTCGTAACATAAAATAACAAATACTATTATGATGAAGATGATATCCAGGGATAATGACTTTTTCTTAAATTTTACCTTTAAAAGAATATGATTCTTCAAATTATTTGTTTTAATGCTCATTTAATTGAAAACATTAATAGATAACTTGTATCTAGCCCAAATAAATTCATTATTCATCAAGTGATCTGATATTTTGTTAAATGGATTTGGTGTTTAACTTGAAGGTGACATTCATTGTGAATGAATATTGAGTGGGGTACTATTGAAAACAGGGAAGTGTTGGATACTTGCTCTCTCCTAGTTTGGAATTATACAGGATTGGCAACTCTTGATCAAACCACTGCCTTTCTAGTCTCTCATCCAGCTTGTTACGCTTAATCCCTTGATTCAAAATGAATTAGTCTGTATTGTCATCTTTAGTCGACACCACTGTAGCATTAAGATTATTCAATGTCATTAGTAACGGTTGAATGAATTAAAATTAAAGATGAAGACTTCCATGCAAAACCAGTAATCTGTGTATAATGCATTCACCACAATAACTAAATGTTCTTAGAGTTTCTGTTGGAAGAGTTGTTTGTATAAAACTATGAAATAACTGTCCATTGTTGTATGCTTCCGCCTGGTGCACTATGTATTCTAATTTTGAGACGAAAACTGCCTTTCTGTCTTTTAGTTTAGAGATACATGTTATACCTTTAAAATGGTGAAGTTTTTCAGAGTTGATTTTTTGAGCTTGAATTGTACCTGACAATGTTTCTGAAAATTAAATGAACAAAACTGCCAGTTTTTCTTCGAAGCATCCAATACTATATATGTTAGGCTGTAGAGCTTGGTGGCCAGGGTTTGGAGCTTTTAGAGAGCATCAGGTCCTCAAAGTTGTAGATACGCTCTACCGGTGAGTCTGAACTTGCTAGATGGGCGTCTGCTGTCTACATCTTCTAGTCACAAAACATTAGGCAAAATGTACATGAAGTTACAAATAATATAACTATGTATCGTTTTATTTCGATCTGTTTGAACCAATGACTAAAAAATTCAAATAGTCTTCCAACTTCCCAAATACATCATTGTAAAGAAATGAAATTGTTGTGTTTCATTATAAAATGGTCAAAATGAAAAATGAACTGTGTTCGTGAACTTTGGCCTCTTTCTATTGACTTCTCCACATTTATTTAACTAATACCAACTTATTTGTGAAATTATAGCTGAAATAATCTCAGAGGTTGGAGTTCAAGCAATTCCAACGTTTCGTCCATTAAACTTGTCTGGACTTCGGGGTAATAATCAAAATCAAAATTTTTAGTAGTTGAATTCATGAGTCGAATAAAGCTAGACCACCATGGAAACGTGAAAGCACTGAACAGCCGTTTCGCCCTAGTATGGGACTACTCTAAAGTGTGCATCCACGATCCGGCACGTGGGACGTGGACCAATGGCCTTCGGTCTCACGCGCCAACGCTTAACATCTAGACCACTGAGCCGGCATCCAACGGTGTTAATGCCTAACTTCAGCCAGTCTACGATATTGCGCGGCTGTCCACCATTGTTTTCAGTGAGTAACTGCCTCTACAACAGACACGGTTGAACTCCACTGGTTACGGCTTCTCACTATAATCCAAAGAAATACCTCATCAAGCCAGTCACTAGTGAGCACATGATGATTATTATCAGAATGGGGTTTTTTGGATATTGTGGTAACTTTTAATAATTGAATTCATGAGTCGATTAAATCTAGACAATCATGGGTCGACTCAGCGTACGGAATCGTGGATGCGCCCTTCAGAGGAGTCCCGTACTCGGACGAAACGGCTGTTCAGTTCTCCCAGGTTTCTCATGGCGGTCTAGCTTTAATTGACTCATGAATTCAACTATTAAAAATCACTCCAATATCCACGAAAACCCATTCCGATAAAAATCAAAATTATCAAAGAATTACGGCTTAACAACCGAATCAAATTGGTACTAAATGTTTATCCAATCGTATTCAGATTTTGACTTTAGTAAGTAGGATAATATGAATCATTTATACGTGAATCACGTGAAAAGTTCCCAAAGTGTTAATAAACAGATGAGTGGGTGTGTGTGTATAAGTTTAAGTTATCAATCTTTATTTGCATGTGCCAAACACTTTCTGAATTATTTTGGTCCCTTTGAAGTTCATCTTGTATCCTTTTTATAACGTACACAACGGTATTGCTGAATTATTCTCAAGTTTCTTTAGACTAACTGGAGAGTTGGGAACATGTATCAAACATCGTTTGTGTTCTTTCAACCTCACATTCAACTGCTTAAATGTTTCTTCAACATAACCTGCATTACAATCCTGACAGCTGGTCTCACAGACAACATCCTATTGCTGTTCCTTTAGAAACCTATCATTATCTTTCACTAACACCGATCTTATTGTATCACTGGTCACAATCCCCTTAGTTCCTTCTGATATTTCTTTTCAATATTGGATCACCGTTTTCTTCTGTTCTTCCGAGATACACCCTAATTTAGTTTTTCTTCTATGTCTAACAGCCTTCTTTAAAACTATTTAGATTAATTGTTTGCCCCAAGTATAGACAATATTAAGTTCATTTCAGTCTTTTGGTCTTTCCTCTTTGTAGTCAAATTACTGCTGCTGTTACTTAAATTTTTCACGGCTGTTATCTTTGTACAACAAGAATGAACTACACCGTAATCTCAGAATATATTGATTTGAGGAACAGGATAATTTGTAAATTCATATTATGCATTCTTTCGACTAAACTATCGGGAAACTCTACTTTGTAGTTGGTGGACTGTACCTCTTTCTTTGACTTAACGCTATCCGTTATGTTGTTTGCACTTTCAAATATTTCCTCTAAACCACTTCGTTTAATGATAACAAAATGTTCTCAACATAACGCAACCAAACTTTGGGTGAATTTACACATTTTGTAATCTCACTGATTTCTAAGGAATGCATGAATAAATTCATTGCACCCAGAGAAACTGGTAAACCGATTGTCACACCTATTCGTCTGTAATTATCTCAAATAAGAATACGATGGATCATAAACAGAATTCCAAACACTTAATAATCTCGGAAGGATCTAACGGGGATCGTAAACTCAAATGTGTCATTCTAAACAATCATTAATGACATCCATTGCTTAGGTACATTAGTAAATAAGGAAGATACATAAAAACTTGCCTTCAATTCATCCTCTTGCATGTGAATGATATCGATATCATTCTTGATTTCAGTACAGCTTTAAATTCCATAATTAACCAATTTGTCATAATGTTTGAGCATCTTCAATCTGAATAATTTCCAAATGATTGTTCTAACCAATACATTGAAATTTTAGGTGAAATAAGTCAAAATCTGTCCCAGTTGTACAGATGCATTCATTTACTGACTTCCCTTTAATCCTGAACTTTAAAATTATCATATTCTTTTTTATTAAATAAGTTAATTCTTTCTTATCTCGTCATTTTGTCTTCATATAGTTTTTTTTAATACCATTAATGACACTGCTACTACTTCCGTTACTCTGAAATTCGTTTTGTTAATGTCATTTCATTGTGCTTATGTAATGTGCCAGATTCTAGTTTGTTTATGATCAACTAGACATAGAAATAAAGTATAGTAAAACAAATGTTTAACAATTGCTACCTAGAAATATATAGAATCCTAGACATGACAACACGCGTTTATACCTCATATTTCCCGTTTCACACTTTGTCGATCAGAGTATAATTTATTGACAACGTTTAGATGCTTTCAATGTTACTGCAAAAACTTAGGCTATTTCATTGGTAAAAAATAGGGTTATAAATAATGTGAGGAATCAGGACACGAAACCGAGGTTACGAATTAAAGATAAGGTTTTCATCACAAACTAACATCAGTTGTTATTGCCAGAATGCCACAAACCCATATAGATGAATAAATTTCCCGTAAAGATAAATCAAAAAATCATTATCATATATCTGATAAGTTTTTCCGTTGATTATAGTCATGCTAAATTCTTCATATTTCGATCACAGCATTCACTGTGAAGTGCAAACTTTAAAATAAAAAAAAATAGCTATCTTATCATAAACTCCGTCTATAGCTCTTCTAAAGTTAATGACGGTTCCAATCCAGGTTAAAAAAGGAGGGTTGGGCATGAGGTTGATAACCACATCCCGTAGAAACACTGTTGCTAAAAAAACACCAACCCGTAAGTAAGTATCTTATGAAACGAATGTTGTGAGCAATTAGACCAACTGCAAAATGATGTATTCTTGATGAACCTTTTGTTAAATACATTCCTTTATTAATATTTTCAGAAAAGTCTACAAATTTACATGTACACAATCATATAATTTGTTTCTTTAATACGATTATCACTAATTAAGTAACTAACTACCTAACATGATTTTTTAAAATACTAATAAATAGAATTAAGAAATGAAAACCAACTGACAGGACAATTTTCAATTTTAATTTACATTATGAAATTTTTAATGTCAATTATATTATAAAGAAACAAGTTATTCTCTTAAATTGTATGCCATAAATTGACATGAGATACGAGTTGCACTATATTCTCGTTCTTTCATATGATTTAATAGTCTTAAGCAAACTGATAGTTTTTTTTTAAAAAAAAAGTTATATCGGTTCTGTAAAATTTAATCCTGTAATAGAATTAGTAGAGCACATTTCCAACCATATTTTTGTTCTTGTTTTTGATTAGTAACCAATAGTTGGAGACTTTAGGGGACATGGCTCAGAATCGATCACAATGGAGTAGGTGTGTACACTTTCTGTCTTCCTTTAAACTGTGAGACTGAAATTGCTTTATATCTTTCTTTCTACCAACTAATTCTTTCTTCCTGTATTATATCCTTATACACAATCTTTCTTTTATATATTACTATCATTGAATTAACTACTTCTATGAATTTGGTGTTCATTTT